CGCGGACCGCCGCGCCCACCGAGCCACTTACCGTTCTGGATGAGGATCTGAGAGCGCGTGAAGCGTCTGTGGATGGCAGCCATGTGCAAAGGGCTCTTCCCTTCCTTACTCTGCAGAGAGAGGGGAAACTCGCCAGCCGGGGGCAAAGCGTCCCCTAGCTCTGCTACGGAGGGGTCACCATTTCTTCCACACCCGGTCCCTCTCCTGGGCCCCCAACTCCTCCCCCGCAGGCCCACGGCCCGGCCCCGCCCACCTGGAAGTTCACGTTGTGGATGGCAGCCATGTGCAAAGGGCTCTTCCCTTCCTTACTCTGCAGAGAGAGGGGAAACTCGCCAGCCGGGGGCAAAGCGTCCCCTAGCTCTGCTACGGAGGGGTCACCATTTCTTCCACACCCGGTCCCTCTCCTGGGCCCCCAACTCCTCCCCCGCAGGCCCACGGCCCGGCCCCGCCCACCTGGAAGTTCACGTCGGCGCCGTTGTTCACCAGCAGCTCCAGGCAAAGGGCCCCGTTGGTGGAGACGGCGGCAAAGTGCAGCGGGGTGAAGCCCTTCTCGTTGGGCTGGTTGACGTTGGCGCCGGCGTTGACCAGCTCGTTGGCCACCGCGTCCTGGCCCATGTAACAGGCGATGTGGAGGGCGGTGTTCCCAAAGGAGTTGGGCTCGTCGATCTGCGGGGGGTGAAGAGAGCCCAGGGATGGCAGCGGGGCGCGGCCCAGCGTGGCCACGCCCAGAGGGGAAAAAGCCCAGGCAGGCCACCCCCAATCCCTTCCCCATCAGTGCCTGGGGTTCCCCTCGCACCCCCACAGACGCCGACCACTGGGCACAGGACAGGAAGGGAGATCCCCGCTCCGGGGGGGACTGGGGCAGGACAGTGGTGTTAGCTCCCCTAACTCTTGGGGAAAGCGTGGGCGGCGCTTCAAAACCCGCAAGAGACCAGGGCCTCGGATTCCCACCTCTAGCATCAGGGGCAGCAGCATCCCGCTGGGATCCGCAAGTGTGACCTCCCCCAACAGCCACAGCTGCCCCACAGATTTCCTGGCCTGTCACCCATCTGGGTCCTAACGGGGCCGGGGACACCTCACACTCCCCAGGACGTCGCCCAGTGCCTGCCTGCACCCAGCGCCCTCCTTGGAGCCGGCAGGGCCAGCCCCAAGCCGCCGCCGGCCTCACCTCGACTCCCAGCCTCAGCAGATGTTTCCCCACCTCGATCTGGCCGCTGGCGGCCGCGGGGTGGAGCAAGGTGTACCCCTTCTTGTCCTTGCACATGACGTCAGCGCCCCGGGCCGCCAGCAGCTTCAGCACTTCCAAATGCCCTGCGCAAAGGAAACTGACTCAGCGGCCGGCGAGTCCCGAGCGCCTGGACCAAGGCGGCGGCAAGGAGGCCTCAGGGTCGATACGCCGCCAGCAGCCACGGGACAGGGGACCTGCCAGCGCGAGCCACGGAACAGCACCCGAGGGGATGGATGTTGGGGGCTCCCCGCCAGGGCTAGGCGCAAACAGGCGGACCAGAGGGGGAAAGAGGCCCTGCCCCGCACTTGGCCCAAGAACAAGGCGATTCCCAGAAGCTTCGGCTTGCTCAACATGGGACAAGCGGGCAAGAGCTTTGCCAAGTCCCCGGATCCTCCGTGCCACGCCTCCCCCGGCCCTGCAGCACCCTGCCGCTGGCCACGACCTGCAGGACTTGGGGCTACTGGCCGTATAACAAATGGCATGGGGCTGCCCCTGCCCTGCCTCTGTGGACCCATAGGACGGCTCAAGGCAACTGCCCCGGGCCCTGTGCTTTGGGGGGCCCCGTGGGGACCTGCCTCCACTCTCACTGACAGTGGCTGGAAGTGGCGCGCCCCTGCTGCCCTGAATCCCGGCTGCGTCACCCTGCTTCCTGCCGCGGCTGCTGAGTGCAGGGGCCAATCCCCTCCCTTCCCCCAAGGGATGCAGCTGGGGGCCGGGCAGAGCAGGTTGGGTCCAAGTCGCTCTGCTTCCTGCCGCAGCTGGTGAGCGCAGGGGTGGGCCCGACCCCCTTCTACCAGCACCAGGCCCCCCAGCTAGTCCCTGGCCCGCGTAGCTGGGGGGAGGAGCCTGTTCCTGAGGTTGGGCCACAAGTGGGCCGGGTGATCGGGGCTTGCTGGTCCACGGCCTCCTGGCCAAGCTGCCCCGTGGCACCTCCGTAACACCACCCGCCCTCCTGAGCCCAGCGTCGCCCCCCACGCCAGAGCTCCGCCGGCTCTGTCCCTTCTCCGCCAACGCAGTGAGCTGCACGACGCCCAGCAGGGCCAAGCCTGGGACAAGGGAGGTCTGGCGCCCTGGCTGCGAATGAACCGTGACACCGTCAGGTCCCCCACGCCATCCCAGCTGCAGCTTTTGGGGTACTGTGTGCAGAACCGGTGAGTCTGGGGGAAGGGGAGAACCCCTCGATTGTGCCCCTCCTGGACTCATCTCCTGTGCCACCTGCTGTACCCACAGCAGAGCCCCAAGGGGGGACAACGGGGAAGCCCCGGATCACTAACACAGGCACCAGCAGGCAAGGCATGAGGGAGGGTACCTAGGAAGGCTGCCCAGTGGATGGGCTGACGCTCCTTCTTGTCACATGTGCTCAGGCTGGCCCCTTTATTTAAGAGCAAGTTCACCATCTGGAGGAGAGAGAAAGCAGCTGGAGGAATGGCTCCCTCCACCACACCGCGCCAGCCCCGCCCCGCCCCGGCACATGTGAGAGCCTCGTGCTTTCGGCAGCGCTGCACTGACCCTCTCTGCCAGCTCGGTACGGCCGTGCGGCACCCAGCGTGACAGCGCCCTCAGAGCCGCCAGGCTGGGCCAGCACCCCCAGCCTAGCTGTGGAACATGCCCAGCTGGGGATGCAGCTGGAGGAGGCCGGTCGCCCCAGGGAGGGCTCTGACAGGTGTGCCACCACGATGGAGGGGTCCCCAGGGTAGGAGAAAAAAGTTCAGAAAAGGGCAACAAAAATGATGAGGGGTTTGGAACGGGTCCCACAGGAAGAGCTTAGGGACTTTCAGCTTCGAAAAGAGGAGACTCCGGGGGGATAGGTAGAGTCTATAAAATCAGGACTGGTGAATAAGGAAATGTTATTTACTTTTCTCACAACATAAGAACGAAGGGTCACCAAATGAAAAGAACAGCTAGCAGATTTAAAACGGATAACAGGAAGTACTACTTCATGCAACGCACAGTCAATCTGTGGAACTCCTTGCCGGAGGATGGGGACTTTAACAGGGTTCCAAAAAGAGCTCGATAGATTCCTGGAGGTTAGGTCCATCAATGGCTATTAGCCAGCTGGGGAGGAATGGTGTCCCTAGCCTCTGTGTGTCTGGAAACGGGTGACAGGGGAGGGATGATGTGAGGACTCCCTGCTGTGTTCCCTCCCTCTAGGGCACCTGGCATTGGCCACTATGGGCAGACAGGACACGGGGCTGGACGGACCATTGGTCTGACCCAGTCTGGCCGTTCTTATGTGACAGACGCTGCACCTGGGGCGCCCGTGGGATTAGATTTCTCACACTGCCCGCCCCAGCTTCTCCCTGCTCCCCCGAGGATCCTACACCTGCAGTGCATGAACTTAAGGATGCAGCACTTCCACCATCAGCTCTCTCGTCCATATTCTGGCAGCACCTCCGGACCACCCACACCATGAGCCCCGGCAGGCCCTGGGGCGTCTGCGCGCCAGGAGCGACTCTCCGAGCAGCCTGCTCACCTCGATGTGCCCGCTGTGCACGGCGTGGTGCAGCGCTGTGCGGCCCGTGCGATCCGCCACGTTGACGCTGCTCAGCAGGGGGATGATGGCCTCTGCGCACTTGGTGGCTCTGTTGGCAGCAGCAACGTGCAGTGGCGTTTGCCAGTACTTGTCGCGAGCGTTGACGTCGGCCGAGTGCTTCAGGAGGAGGTTAAGTGCCTTCTGCCGGGACAGGGAAAGGGCAGTGGTCAGACAAGCAGCCCGGGCTGGTCTCGAAACGAACCCAAGCAGCCAGCGCTGAAGGGGAACGTTCCCCTACTTAGATTGCAACTGCAGCCCACCACCAGGCTGGGAACTACAACTCCCAGCACGCAGTGCATCACAGATGCACTCACAGCTGTTCCCAGAGTGGGCCTGGCTGGCATGGGAAGGCTGCAATTTGGTTGGCTTTGTGCACCACATGGCTGTCACTCTGGGCAGCACCTTGCCCGCTACCCTGCCCCAGAGGAGAGGGTCTGGGGGTGAGTGGGACCGGCTCTCAGGCCCTGCCCCCGCTAGGGCAAGGCGTCCTGGTGTCCTTTTAAAACAGGCTGCGAGGATCGCACCTCGGCTAGGATGGTGCAAACTCCTAGTGCACACGGGGCAAGCTGCTGCGTGACGCGTGTTACCAGACCGGCACATGTCCTTTTAAACATGCTGGCGACCACGTATGAATGACGCCTGTTTTCTTAGCCTCACGGGGGGGGGGGGGGGGGGCCCGCGCACGGCTCCGGGCGAATTCTAGCTGTGCCCCCAAAACCACTGCCCTGACAGCTCAGCCCCACTGTTCCTGCATAGAAGCAGCGGGGGACAGGAAGGGCAACCAAGGCCTGGCCCTCAGTCAAGGGTGCTCGCTGGCAGAGCTGGTGGGGGCAGAGAGCACCGTACCAGGCACTCGCTAGCAGCACTCCGATTAGTCCTTCATTTCCTCCGGGCGAATTCTAGCTGTGCCCCCAAAACCACTGCCCTGACAGCTCAGCCCCACTGTTCCTGCATAGAAGCAGCGGGGGACAGGAAGGGCAACCAAGGCCTGGCCCTCAGTCAAGGGTGCTCGCTGGCAGAGCTGGTGGGGGCAGAGAGCACCGTACCAGGCACTCGCTAGCAGCACTCCGATTAGTCCTTCATTTCTTTCAGCAGTTTCTTCTTAAAAACTGAAATCGGGACAAAGTCACGGCCGGCTGCCTATGGAAACCAAGAGGCTGAGGCTGGGGTCTTCAAAGGTCCCCGTGCACCCCCCACTATATGGAATTTCAATGGATGCAGGGCACCTAAATCCCTTGGGCCTCCATACACCTGTGCCCGATTTCACCTAGAGCTGTGGGGTCCAACCAGTTCTGAAGCAGTGGCTACTACTAGCCACTCCCAACCGGCCAAACCGCCACTCCACGGAGCTAAGAGCCTCTCCCAGTGGTCAGTGACAAGCCTCAAAGGGAGGATTAGTGCATAGCCACTTTGCTATTCCAGTAAGGGGCAGGGAGGCCGATGGTGGGGCACCGTGTGGCCGATCGAGGCCCTGAAATCGGGCAGGGAAGCCGCCCCCTAAAAACGAGATGCCTTCTACAGCTCCATTCTCCAGCCTGACCCCGCGGAGCTAAGAGCCTCTCCCAGTGGTCAGTGACAAGCCTCAAAGGGAGGATTAGTGCATAGCCACTTTGCTATTCCAGTAAGGGGCAGGGAGGCCGATGGTGGGGCACCGTGTGGCCGATCGAGGCCCTGAAATCGGGCAGGGAAGCCGCCCCCTAAAAACGAGATGCCTTCTACAGCTCCATTCTCCAGCCTGACCCCGCAGAAAATCTGAAAGCAGCGACGTCTGCCTTCATGCAGGGCGCAGCTGGCACTGTCCTGCCAGAGACCCCGCTGCCCACCACAAGGGTGGCACGGAGCAGGCTCCAGAAAGCCGATTGCTCCAGCAGCTTCCCAGGAGGGTGCAGCGTGTAGCTCTCGGCCCCCACCCCCCGGCTTTGTGTCTCCAGGCCCCTTGCAGGGGTCGTGGGAGCACGCAGATAGAGCCCACCCCGCAAACCGCTGCTCTGCCCCCGCCTGTGGGACCTGGTCAGGAAAGCAGCCGCCTTTGCCCTGGGCTTTCGAGGGAGGAATCACGCTGGGAGGCGGCAGGCAGGCCCTGGCCTGCAAGGGTGGCCTGCCCCCGCCTGTGGGACCTGGTCAGGAAAGCAGCCGCCTTTGCCCTGGGCTTTCGAGGGAGGAATCACGCTGGGAGGCGGCAGGCAGGCCCTGGCCTGCAAGGGTGGCAGGTTCAACGCCAGCCTAGCTCGGGAGCGACCAAACGGTTCACGAGCTTCTCTGGGTGCCCCAGAGGGCA